CAGACTGGCTCATTATGCGAGCCAACTTAGTGTTCCCTTTTTATCTTATCTTTCGGCGGCGCCGTGGTCTCTCCACAACGGCAGCCCAATTATCAGTACGGTCATAGGTATAATTATTTCAGGCCACAAAGAACCTCGCATGTACATGTCGTTGTGAGCAAGGCTGAGAACAAGGTTGAGGCAGCTTCAGGAAGCCTTTGTTGCTTGTTCTGTGTTTTGCCATTTTGAGCAGGCGGGGTAGGTGACATTTTCTTTGTCCAGGCAATGAGGACTTTAGGAGCAGGTTCAGTGGAGAAGGCATTGCTGGCTCCCTCGTTGCTAGCAGGAGTTGTGTTCCCGGTAGTTTGGGGGAATCATCGTATGGACTTGGTGCGTGTGGCGAATAGCAGACAAGTTCAGCAGACTCAGAGCAGCTGGTCTAACACGGACGAGGCGTTATACCGCGGCTTGGAGGTCATGGGGAGGCTGCCGGATGCAGAGCTGGGCGTGGGTTCGAAAATTCGCTTGGTGGAGTCAGAAGAAAGGGAAACACTGTTTGCCGACTTATTGATGGCACACAGCGAACTTAAACAGGCTATACTGGCCAACGTTGCTCACTTCCTAGTCACTGTCGGCAGATGGGCAGGCAACTACGATACGGACGAACTTTCAGCAGACCAGAAGGATGACCTAAAGGGCTGGCGCAGTCGGTTTAAGGCCCTATGTCGTAACAGCCTATTCGAAAACGGCTCTTTCCAAAGACGAGAATGGGATATTCCTGAAGTCTTCAGCTTCGCTGTCGCGACTGCACACTACGCCCACATACTCGAAGCTCCGGTTGGCCACGAGTTCGTCGAAATCCCCTCGTTCGTACCCACGTCCATTGAAACCACCGTGACATCAGCGGTGGCATCATCTGGTCAAGCAGTCCTCCCAAGTTCATATCCTGAACCAACAACTCTCGCTGGCGTGGTGACTCTTGCTGGCGTGGTAACTCTCCCTGGTGAACCTACTTTTTCAGCTGAAGCTGAAAAAGTCGGGGAAGGATTCCAGGCAAGTTTCACTGAAGTGGCCCAAACAAGTTTGACTGAAGAAGCAGCTTTAGTCAAAGCAGCCCCCGACAACATTGAGGGACCAGCGCCCGTCTGCGAATCGATCTCTGAATGTGTTTCTAACGACTACACAGCTGCATTAGGCACGGAGTTGGTGGATGCCGTTGAGGCCCTCTTTAAACTGATCCGCTCCCCGCCGACATTGGACACTGCAGGGTACTACTTTACTGCTTGTCGGGAACTCTTGCGCGACCCAATGATCAGACAGACACCGGCCCTCATGTCCGAGGTTGTTGAGATCCGAAACAAGGCGTTTGTAGAGATGCTAGCGAATAATAGCGCTAACGAATTAGAAGTCTTGCACACAAAAAGAGTGCTAGAATCCGTTGTATGCAGTGAGCCACTCGACATTTTCTGTCTCAAATGGGCTCCCGGTAACCAACAAAGAGCAGCGACCGAGGCAGCCGCTTTCGCTGCTGACCATGACCTCTGGTAACTGCAACTCCGCCGCAAGCTAGTTCCATGACGCATAGGCGACCACCAACCCTTAGCGGGCGAGCGACCACCGACCACTAGCGGGCGATCACCAACGATTAGCGGGCTCATCACCACGTGTACATGTACTGGTGCTCATGGAACGTTGGTCTGGATTTCACGAATTAAAAAATTGTGTCCACACATAAGACGGACACTCTTCATGAACGATATGTAACGGTGACCGGCGTCAGTCTCGTTGCGGGCTATGGGGCTTTTTTGCGGTTGGTAGGGGGT